CCCCAAAACCCCAAAACCCCAAAACCCCAAAACCCCTAATGACTAGAATTTTATATAGTAATTTACTATGATTAATAGTAAGTTAATGATTAAAACTCTGGTGATAATATTTATGATGATTATCATTGTCATCTTGGCTAATTGTAATGATGGTTGTCGTTATTTTAATGATGACCATTAGTCATAAAAGTATTACCCCCTTCTTGATGATCATTGTTTGTAATGTTACTGTCCTTAAGCTTTTTTAAATTATCCTTACTTAATGGAGCAAGCTACACTTATGAATGATTGCTTTAAGAAGCACTATTGGTTTCAACTTATTCACTGCCTTGAGCAGAACCTACATTTAATGGCTTCAATTAGTTATGTTTTAAGTGTCTCCTCATCTCCTTTATTTTATGTTTACTTATTCTATTCTCTTGCTCTTTCTCTTTGAGTTCTTTATTTAAAGCTTCAAGTTTTTGCTCACTTTGAGAAATCTTTTTATCCCATTTTTTCATTTCAATTTTATGTTTTTTCTCTTCATCTGCTATTTAGCTTTCAAGCAGCTTTTTCTCATTTTCTAATCTTTCTAACTCCTCTTTGGAAGTGCTTTCCTTTTCGATCTCCTAGTCGATTATTCCCTTTTTAGCTTTCAGTTGTTCTATTTACGATTGGTACCTCTTGTTCTCTTCTTGCACCTGCACAATCTTTTCACTTTAATTTTTCCTGCTTGCTTCTTCTTTTTCCTATTATACCTCCAGCTTCTTAACTTTTTCTTTCCATACTCTAAGTTCATCAACCAATGATTTCATCTTTGATTGATATTCTTCCTCATTTGCAAGCTTTTCCAAAGCTTTACCTTGATTTTTATGTTACTTTTCCAAATCCTTGACCTTCTTTTCCAAATCTGTCTTCTCTTTTTGACTGTCCTTAAGCTTAGTTTCAAGGGCAAGAATCTTGTCTACACCTGACAGTTACTCAATTTTACCTTATAACTACTATATTTCTTTTTTATATAGCTCAATCTGATTTTGTGAATTCTTGAGTTCCTTCTACTTAACTTAGATCTAATGACCCACATCTTATTACTTTGTTTCCTTATTCTTATAAATCTTGCGAGTATTTGCCTTTTCAAGAGTCTTTTCTAGTAAAGTATTCAGCTCTTTAAGTTTATTTCTCAGTTTTACATTAATTCCCTTCAGTTTCTCAATCCTCTAACTACAATGTTATAAGTTTTATTGGAAATTGAAACATACTCTTTTTCATCCTTGTCTTTTTTGGCAACTTATCGCTTCACATTCAGCTTGTTTATCTAATTGTCTACCTAAATCATGTTTATTAAAGATCAATAAATCAAACCTTGTCTGCATCTCTATTATGATTTATTTCAGCTTATCTAGCTTCCTTTTATAAACCTAAAATATGATGATGAGATTAACTATAGAAATTACCATGCATATTTTCATTGACTTAATTCATATCAGTCTAATGATTGTAAGTTTACTTTTGGTTTTACATTTCAATTTCTGAGTTAATGTTTTCCAAATAATTATTAACTTTGTGATAAATTATAACTTTAATCCATTTTTACTTTTTAATAAGAATTTTAAATCGACTTGTTCTTACAGTGTTCTAATCAGATCTTTGTAAGATGCAAAAGCATATTTTCGAGAGTTTAGCATTCCTAAGACATTTCTGGATTTTCTATTACTTTATTTTTTGCAGAGAGATGCTTATTTACATTAACTTTTTCTAGTTCAATTATGTCATTTTATGCTTATATTTAGCTTACTTTTTCTATGTTCACTCGTTCCTAATTTCGATCAATAATTTTCTAATTTATCAGATTATGATCTTCTGGTAATTTTAACGGATTAAAATCACCAATCCTCTTTATCATTTCACCTATTTATTCAAATCCTTTAACTTACTCCAAAGTATTCCTTTAATTAAAGTATCCAATGTATAATCCTAGCAAATTTCTAAGAGTGAATGTGGTGTTGTCATGCCTCCTATTATACAAACTACTTGCGCTTCCATTGGTATAGTTCTTCTTTTATTAATACCCAGATTTTTCTTTTGCTTTTTGTAGATCAAGGACTATTTCATATTCTGTATATTATTATATCATGGCATCAACTTTTTCTTGAGTTTTGATATCAACCTTGAGTTTCATAATTTTTTCAATAAGTCTAAACTTCAATTCGTTTTCCTGCAAGTTATAAAAAGTTATCTTCTAATCCAGTTGTGATTCTGATATTTGATTCATAAGCTAATTAGCTTTTAATGGATTCAGTTATATTATATCGATGTCAATATAGCTAATTAGCTGCTTGAGTAGAAGGTTATCATGAGCTTAGCTTACTCTTTTTTCTTTCCATTCTTTAAATATGCGCTGTAGATTTTACTTCTGCAAAGGGTATAATTCCTCAACTCAATTAAGCTCTTATACTGGCACTAAAGATTCAACTGTTGAGCTATGATATGGAGTTATTTTAGATTCTCTCTCTAGTTATATTTTTTGTTCACTAAATTATTTGCTTTTATCTAACTTATTTGAAGAATTCAATCTTAGTTCAACTATAAAATTGCATTAATGATAATTCATTTATATACTTAGCTCATCAAAATAGTACTTAAGTGTAGGCTTCATTGGATCTTTTTTGACTTATTTACCTTGTTTCTTTCCTTAATGTGTATTTCCTTTTCTCTCTCAAATAATGATATTTTTCCATTTCTTGACAAGATTACTTGCTTCCTTGAATCTATAGCGTTTGTAGAGTTTATTGACTAGTTTACCGATCTAGTAAGATTTGAGTTCCTTTTTAGTTATTTCAATTGAATCCAATCGATGCAAGGAAGCCTTTATTTATTCAAGATTGTCAATTGAAAGATTATCTACATCAATCTATCTTCCCGCTTTTGACCCTTCATTGCTAGACTCATTTAATAATATTTTATCGAAGAATTAGGAAATGCTTTAAAGTATTTAATCTTCCTCTCTGCTCTCACAACTATTTTGCATGTTGAATTCATCCTGTGTTTGCCTCATTAACTCTTACATAATGGAAACTACTCCTTAAGATTGCGAGAGTATCATAGTATACTGATCTTGATCCTCTAATAAACTAGAAAGATTCATGTAGTTTTTGAAGATAATATTTGGAATAATTGGATATTAACCAATAATTTGAATTTTCAGTAATTGTGGCTCTCGGGGTTTTGGGGTTTTGGGGTTTTGGGG